GCTGCTCATGTGCTCATGGGGGAGCAGCTAGGCTGTCCAATGCCCAAACTTTCCAACCCTCATCCCTTGGACCTGTAATGTACTTCATGTTACCTCCCAGTCTCTCACCCTTACGCTCTTGTTGCTTTCATTTCCTTTGGACAAGGCACATGCTCTCTCAATTATCTTTTCAGCAGAAGCTTCTAGTTTATTTGCAGCCCTCAAATACCTTTTTGTTCAGCTGATTTCATTACCTGGTAAAAACATGCTCTTTGCAGCACGGGTGAGCTTGGCTTTAGATGGATGTGTGCTGCCTAATGAAACAGGGCCCTGCTTACTCACTATAGTTCCTAGAAGTTCATTCAGCAGAAATAAAGAACAATTTGACAATTTGGCTACCAGGTTACAGGCTGCTGGCCAGTTTAAAAATCAGTAACCAACCAGATGAAACTAAAATCCTCTGCCTGAGTTCAACTGGATGAACTATTTTTGTGAATAGTGTATTTTCTGGGAAAAAGCCATTTCAGATTAACTGTCAAGAACTGCAAGTTCAGGTCAAGTGAAGCAAAGAGTTCCAGCTGAAAACAAGCAGGAAAAAAAAAAGTAGCATTGAAAAAGTTTAATCTGGCATCCCTGAAAATTTTTTGTTCCAGAAATGTCAAATGGAAACCTTTTGCTTTTTCACTTCAGGATGGAAATTTTCATTTAAAGATTGACCTAAATTTCTATAAGGAAGATATTAATTAACAGGAATAAGAAGGAGACTAGATCACTCTGGATCAGGTATAGCATTTTAAGATAATAAGAAATGCTTGGCTTTCGTTTTTGTTTGGTTTTTTTTTTTAATTTTTCAAGGGGAAAAAAATTCTGATCCTCTTTGCCTTGAACAGGACTTCTCTGAAAAATATTCACCTTAGCCACTGAGCAAAACTATGACCACCTCCCTGCTGGGTGCTGCAAACACTAAGAACAGCTCAGAGTATGTCTTCAAGACTACCATTTTTGGTATGCACAACAAGGACCACAGAGAATTTACTCAAAATACCCAGGGACATAGGATGGGCAAGGAGAATAAGAAGAGAACTTCAGATCTTTTGATACACTTTTTCCTGTAATACAGTAAGTACTGCTGTCACTGACAGGGATCCTTTTTCTCCAGCTAAGTGAAGGCTTAACTTTCATCCCAGGGTCCACTTGAGGAACATTTTAGAGTCACAGTATTATCAACATGGGAAAATTAAATGCAGAGAGGGTTTTGAGCTGTGATTATGTAATAAACAACCTCAAAATTTGGGGCGCCTGTGCTTTTGGCTGCCCGACTTTAGATACCTGCAGCCTGATTTGCATGAGCATTAACGCACTCAGAACTCCTACTGAGATCAAAAAAACAACTCAGTGCCTCTGCAAAAACAGGTTGCTGGCATCCAAAAGCAGAGGCACGTGCATTTTTTCCAAAATCTGGGTCTGCACCTCTCATCTGAGGTGGCCTCTGAGCCAAAAGCAGATTTCAGCCTCAGCAGCTCCTGACAGAATTCAACCCAATTTCTACCTCTACAAAAATTCCACAAAACCCCTCTTACAACTGTAGAGAGAAAATTTACTCTGCTGTCCTCTCTCTTTGTTTTGGGTGGGTTTTTTTTTTTTTTTTTTTAAATCATTCTGATTTGGGCCATTTCTTCTAGAGCCTAGAGGTGCTAAAATTTCTCCACACCCATTGCAGGCCACTTACAGTTTATAGGAGACACCCAAAGGTCTCACCGAAGAGCAGACAGGCACAGAAGTTTGGCAAGAACCCATCGTGTCCACAGGTGGGTACTGACCATCCATGTTCTGCAGCCCTGGGGTTATCACTGTCAGAAAACCACAGCAAAAGGAGGTAAATGCAGACAACGTGCCATCCATCTGTGGCCAAGAGAAGGGGAAAAAACCCACATCCTGCTGTGAGAACAGCAAGATGGATTCCTGAACATTCTGCACCAACTGTGTGCTGTGTCTACCTGTGGAGTTTTGCATTTTGGAGGATTTTTTCAAGTGGATGGAGCCATCTCTGGCTTGGAGAAGGAGCACACATTGGAAAGGGCAGTGTCATGGCCAGGGAGCACAAGGTGCTAAATGCCTATCAGTGACTGGGCTCCATCCAGCTGTGAGGGGCTGCTGGCTGCCCGCATTCACCTGCTTTTTGTTTTGTGATGATCACCCTGGCATCAGAGCAGGGCGATACACCTCGGCTCAGCAAGTGCTCTCTTCTCAGGAGGAGGGCAAAGGGTGAGAGGCTGCGTGCTTACAGAGGGTGAGGTAGGTACACAAATTAACCAAGCAGATTTCATCTAACCTTGTTTTCAGCTCTGATCTTCATCAAACACAGCTCGATAGCAGGCAAATTACTGCAGCCCAGAGAAAAGTCATCACACTGGGATGGCAGTGCCCGGGGCAGCAGTGCCAGGTGCTGATGGTGCTGCAGAGGGACCATTTCTGAAGATGCTCAGCAGATTTGCACCCTTTGTCTTTCTTAAGGCAGCATTAAAAGCCACACTTCCCTATGGAAGAGCAAGGATGGACAGAAAGCCAGAAGGGGGTGTTGAGCAGAGAAATCTAATAATTGATAAAATTAGCCCAGGTGGCCACAGATACTCTGAAAATCTGTTCTGGCCAAGAATTGTATTTGCTGTGAGTGATTTCATTTTGTCAGTCTGTGTTTCAAATCAACTTTGACACAACTTCAGCTACAACGGCTTTGAAGTCTGAACTAAATGTGCTATGGAGAACATTATTCATAACCACTCAGATGGAGAGGGAATATTTTTCTTTTGAAAGGCCCTGCCAAACCTGTCCTGTGCTTTGTTTACTTTCAGAGGCACTGTGGTCATTCCTTAGGAGGAAAGGGGATGAAGGAAAGAAAGGGCCAAAACAGTCTGGTAGGGAACAGCCTTCCAAAATCACAGATCAGAAATTCAGTAAAGAATACAGGGAACATTCCATCTGGAGACTGCTGCTTTGTGTGGACAGCTAGAAGTCTTGGGTCCACTCTGTGACACCTTGGACCTGTATCTATATTACAGAGAGTTAAGCTGCTGTACTTTGTAGGTGAGTGGATCTATTTGCAGTGGCAAGGTGCAACCCAAACAGCAAGTGTTTACATACTTGGAGACCTCAAATCCTATGCAGTCCCCAGAGGGTGCAGCAATCAGCTAGGATTTTACAGGGCAGGGATTTGCAGGGTTGGGGTTGCATACATACAGATCCACAAAAGCTTTGAAGATACATAATTTTTACATAGGAATTATGAGAATGAGTTCTGACTAAAATTTATGCAACAGTAATTTCAAATGCTCCAGGCCCAAATCTGCTTCCACAAAAGTCCCTGGAAAGACTCCAAGACAGCAAGCCAAGACCCTTGGTTTCTGTGCCTACTCTACTTTTAACACCTTTCCTCTGTTCATTTGTCCTTCACTTAGAGCTGGTTTGGGTTTTTTTCCTGTCTGACCATTTCTGTTATTGCATTCAACCAAACCTTCCTCTAGCACAGTGTCATTCCTTTAAAGTTTGTAAGAATGTGTTTCCTGAACTCACTATCTTTCATTCCCCTTCCTATTCCCTTTCCTCTTCCCCTTTCCTTCCCTTCTCAGGCTTTTTAGTATCACAGCTGGCCATTCTACCCCAGACTCACATTTGGTATCACTTTGAATGTATCTTTCCTTCCTGGTGGCTGCTTCCTTCCTGCCCACTCCCAAACACTCCTCTGATAAGCATCACGTTGCCTCCCGCTGCTCACTTCTCTTTTCCTTACATGTCTCTTCTGCAGTTATCTTGTTCCTGAGGATCCTTTCAACTACCTCATCTCATCTCCTGTTCTTCCTCTCACATCACCCCAGTCTCTCATTCTCATCTCCCCTCAGTTTCTCTCCTCCTTGCTCCCTGTGGCTGCTTTTCTTTACTACACACATAATTCCCCAACACTTTATTTCTCAGAGAAAAAGCTAGGCATAGACAGGAAGGGTGATATTTTTATTATTATCATCAGGGGGATATATTTGTTACCTAAGTTAGATAAATAAGCTCCTTATGCAATCGGTGGAGAAGAGTAGGACAACTTAGGAGGTTTATTAGATGTTGTCTTCCTTTATTGACTCTGTAGGGAACCCAACTGACTCCATCTGATTTAGTAGCCTGAAATTAATGAAGTCACATGAATATCCTCTGTACAATCTCACTTTTGTTTAGGTTCATGTGAAGGAGAGAGGGAAGGACAAAATATCACTAATACAAGGGCTATACTTGGCAGTGACCAGGCAGCCTCAGCTCCTGACATGCTGGTGAAGTGTGGGGAGTGGCAGCTTTTTGGAGATCCAAAGGAGAGGAAAATGTTGTTGCACACACCTGAGAGGAATGTGTCCCAGCCAGAATAGGGTTTTGGGGTGTGACATCCAGGTCACCTTTGCAAAAGGCCCCTGGGGGATCGATTTGTTTGCTCAAAGAAGGGTAGGGCCAGCAAAAGTGGGAAGGAGTCGTCCAGCAAAATTAAGCAAAGAGATGAGCAATGTAGTGGTCAGAGCAAGGATCCAAAAAAGAGGTTGTTGTTTAGGAGACTTGAGAGGATCAACGTTGCCAGCACCCAGGATGCTTCAGTACAAGTGAAAGAAGGATGGCCATACCAAGGTCCCATGGTTCCAGACAAGGAGATGCTGTATTTGAGAGATGAGACACAGAATCCTCAGGAATGGAAAACAGTTTGAATGCTGGAGTCCAGTAAGAATGCTGAATCAAAGACGAACAGCTTGCTATTTCAATTCCTCACTCTGGGGACCTCCACAGACCCTCTGTAGCTGTGAGTACACCTCTGATATTTCCTCTGCTTGATTTCCTATGTCCCCACCAGGTCCTGGGCTACAACTGCTCTTGTAACATTTAGTATGTGCTCACTGAGGATGGAGTTCAATGGAGTAAAATCCTGCATCAGAGTGATAAAATACTGCTCTAAACAGGATAATGGTTAGAAACACTATTGTTTAGCTTCCCATGTTTTTGACCTCGTTTGCCTCGAGAAGCCCACTGAAAACCACAAGGCAGGTGGGTGAGTGAAAAGGAATATTAGTGTGAGAGAACACAAAAGCTGGCAGACAGGAGAGTAGGCAGCTCAAAGGCTGTGCACCCTTCTGTAGCTGATGTCTCCATTCTTACTGCTATATCTTTAGATGACTTCCAAGGCTATTAGACAATATTCTTTTACCCATACCTATTAAACTACGTTAGACAAATCCCATACCTATATTAGACAATATTCTCTTACCAAACTCTTACCTGTCCTTTACTGTGAATCACTGCAGCTCTATTCATTTCACCCACATAGAAGTGTTAGATTTTCCTTTTTCTTTTAATGAGAAAGAACTTGCTAGGTCCAGCTTTTCCCTGAGATCTGATAATATGCAGGGCAAGAATGGTGGTGGGAGGGCTCTCAGGACTCACAGTGAATAAACATGGGAATTTTCCAAACCAGTTAAGAGTCGAAGAGGCGCAAGAAGACAAATACCAAGGAACTGTGGACATTTCAAGAGTAAATCAGCCTTTGATCTGAGACACAAAATAAAACTAGATTCTTAAAAGTTTCTCAAGGTAAGTGTTTTTCCTCCAATCCTGCTATTTTCTCTCCCCCTCAGCAATGTTATACAAGCACCTTGCTTTGTCAGAAGTACAAAGCACTTGGGAGAGTTCAATGCATCCAAAGTGACTCCAGAACAGAGCAAGAAAAACCTTTCAGTGCAAGATTTGTGTAGGCGGGGGCAGAACACGAAGCACAAACAAGTGCCCTGTGAGAGACTGGAGGAGAAGCTGCTTTGAATCTGCAGAGAGAAGGAGCCCTCACCCTTTCTATGGCTTTCTCAATGTAGCTGAAAAGAGACTCCCTGCCTTCCAGCCCTGTGAATTTTCACTCCAGCCTCGCTGTTTGTAAGCAGTACACAAAGCCCTTATCTCCCAAGCACAGCTTTAGATTATAGAAGGGCAGCTGTCAAGGCTAATGAGCACAGGGCTGACCCAGTGCTGCAGCAGAGGGGCACCTCTGGAGCAGCTGCTGGAGGCTGGGTTTGCAGTACAGCCAGATGCACATTTCCATCTTTTTCCCCTCTCCCTGGTTAGCTCCTATTGCTCTGAAGCTACGGCTTGCCCACCTGCTCTCCCAATGCCTCAGCAACACTGAAAGCCCTCAGAGCCAACAGGGATGTGACATTTGCTGTGAGCCCGGTGGGATGGGGAGGCGCCTCCACAGATGGGAGGGGTGTGCTTTGCCAAAAATCGTGGCTGTGAACTCTTTTTTGTTGCCTGTATAACTTTCTGTTTGTCTTTTTGTAGGCATAGCATGGCTTTTAAGCATTCCAATCAAACAACCCGGGCAACTCATCCTGGTGGCCAATTATAATGGCAAACACAAGTGGCTCTTGACCCATGTGGGAGCTGATAAAAGCCAGGTGACTCCATGGAGAACACCAAGATGCTTTGCAGTGAAGGAACATCATACTGAGGTGATACCCAGTAAGTCAACATAACCACCTTCTGCCCTATGTTTTGGCATCACCCATCCAGAAAATGAGATTTTCTGATAAAACTATTGCTTATTCATTGCTTATTCTGAGAAAAAGCCCACCAGTCCTCTGTGCTCTAAGGTTATTGCTTCACAGCACAAATTAGGAAAGGTACAGTTGGTAGAGTGGGAAAAAGAGGAACCTTTTGGGAATAAATTGGTCTCTCATTACTATAAATGAAAAGCAGCTTAAGCCTGTTGAATGTGGAAATCACAAACATCCTGGTACATATTTTCCCATTTATATCATATATTCAGATAAATTGAAAGTGATCTTTTGTATCAAACTTCCCCCACCATCCAATGCAGTCATTTCCCCTAATAGACTTCCTAGTGCTTTGTGTGGTCAAGTGTTAGATGTCCCCAAGGAATGAAGTTTCCATCACTTCCTTGCAAGGCATTGCACATCTCTCCATCGAGGACATTTCTGAGATTCAGTTCAATGTTGCTTTTACAGGAACACTCCCAGTACTCCTGATTATCCCCCTGCATACATTCTTAAGTAAATATGGTTATAATTTAATTTTTTCTAACACTGGTGACAGTCCCTCTTTGTCATCTTCTGACTACTTCATGAAGAAAAATTTAGGAATGGCATATTCAGAGACAATGTCTCTCCTGTTTTTTTGGTTGCTGTTCTTGAATGCCCTCCAGCATGCCTCTGACTAGAAGTGCAATACACGGGACTCAGAGCAATATTCCACATGCTCTGCCTTCCCATATGTAAGAGGGTGCCTTCCCACACATTGCCCACTTCTGCAGCTTAAGAAATACCATTTCCAATCAGCTAGCTGCTATCATTCCTAGATCTCCTCAACACAATTTATTCCTGCTGCATATTTGAGTTTCAAGTTGTTCTTCTCAAGTTTGCATTTTTCCAAGTTGGAACTTGTACTGTTGTTTTCCAGACATTCTTTAATCTCTCTCAAGTTGCTTCATATCACTTTCCTGTTTATAAGGGTGTTCACAGTCTTTCCCAGAGCAGGATTGATGTTTTTCACTGCTTACCAAAAAAAAAAAAAAAAAAAATTTTAAGTGTCATTACACAAACCATCAGAACACTTAGAACATTTAAATATCTGCAGTGGAAGACACCCAATGCTCCACTTTACCTCTATCCTTCCTCTACTGCTCTGTTTGTTTTCTAAAATTTAAACCACCACTAAAGGGCTCGTGCTGTGCTTAAATGAATGCACCACAACCACAAGATCCCATGGATTTCATGTGAGTTCTGCTTACTCTGTTTGACAGTGGAAAGCCTCAGGTGAATTCCTCACCTGATGGCAGGACCTAAGGCTCTCCAAAGGAGAGGTGATGTGTGGCTGCACAGTGCCTTCGACAGCATCTGTGTGTGTGTGTGCAGAGCTTGCTGCAGCACTAGTTGTGCAAAGCACCTGAGGCAAAATAAGAGCAGCTTGCCTTCCACCACTCTCACAAAAAAAAAAAAACCTCCACAGTTTTCTTCTCTTAAAACATATAGACAACCTTAGTCATGTCACCTTCCTTTTGGGATCAGTGTCTTGAGGTCTTCTCAGCACCTCTGCAGAGGGATGACACCAACTACCAAAGTGTTCAGTGAAGATTGCATATCCAGGGAAGGAGCCGCATATCAGGGAAGGAAATTGGATATCCATTTCTGCCTTTCTGGAGCATCAGCTGACCAATACCAACCCATCCAGCACAGGTAAGCTCAGAACTCAGCCAGTTTGGCTTGTCTTTGTGCTTAGCATCTTAACTTGTAGAGACCATTCTTCAGGATAACTATCTAGACACTAGATCTCTGGCCTTAAAACTCCCCCTCAGTGGCTGCTTTCTGGCAGAGGCTGGGAAAGGTCCATGGATAACTTCAGAGTGGCCCAAGAGAGGCAGCTCAATTTTAATGCTTACAGCAGTACATTTCCAGTGGAAAATATCTAGATATTCATCCCCTTATGTTAAAACCACTGCCCAAAATAGATCTGTACTTGTGTCATAGATGACAATAAGAAACTCTGGGTGGGTGAGCAAAGTAAGAGTTTTCTGAGCATGCAGTTTCAGAGTTAGCTGCTTCCCTAACTGGCAGGCACAGAGGAATTTTTGCTGCTTTGCCTTGCAGTAGTCTATTTGATGAGCACTGTTACTCACAGCTGGCCACTCACCCCACCTTTATCACTTCCTAGGGTCCTGTGAACATCAACTTGGCAATTAATCTTCAGAAAGAAGGACAAAATAGTGTTGAGAGGTTTTGAGGTTTTTGTTTTGTTGGGGTTTTCTTCTGGAAAAGAAAGTATCTGTGAAAAACATGTGTATTCCCTTCTGTTGTGCAAGTCTCAGAGCTGGGGCAAGACCAGTAAGTTTTTTAAGGGAGATGGCTACTGCCAGCAGCAGTTTCAGAAATGACACCACTTTCAGTTTCACAGACACACTTTGGAAATGGATCCCAAGGATGTAAGATTAACAGGTAAGAGAAACAGGAGCAGCTTTCTCTTTCTCTTCCCCCATGGCTACCAGAGCCCTCCTCAGGCTGCTGTCCTGTTGTCCCTGCTTTCATATTCTTTTCTTCCCAGTGATCTCTGCAGTGCCCTTGCTGGCTGAGGACCTGATGGAGGAGCTTCAGTGTCTTCTCCCCAGGAGATGAATGTGCCATCCCACAGGGTCTGGGAAAGCTATACTTGCTGTTTGTGCAGCAGTCACAGCTTTCTGGGGGACAGGTTTGATGCTGGAGGTGGTGGAGGTTTGCTTATTTACTTATTTTCTATCTTTCCCTCTTCTTTTTCCATTTCCTCTTTATCTTTCCTTCCAGAACCCTTCAAACTGTCTCACTCATTAGAGAAGGCCTCCAGCTTTGGAGTAGGAAATAACAGCTGAAGAGCAATATTATCAACAGTTTGGAGCCAGGGCTGAAGAGAAATGCTTTGTCCAGCAGGAAGAAGCAAGGTAAATACAGACATCCATCCTGGGACTTGGGCAGAACAGTACCTCTGGACTTGTGCTCCTATGTTTGTTTGGGGTTTTTGTTTGTTTGTTGGGATTTTTGTTTCTTTGGGTTTCTTTGGGGTTTTTTTGGGTTTTTTTTTGTTTGGTTGGTTGGTTTGGTTTTTTTCTGTTGGTTTGTTTTGATTTGGGTTTTGGGTTTTTTGCCCTAAAGAAAACTGCCAGGACATGTTTAGTTAACATGCTTAAGGCAACAGCAGCTTGCACCCAGGCAAGCAGGCTGCAGCAGCAGGGCAGCATGGCATAGGGTGCTCTGGCAGCGCACGCAGTACCACCTCCTGCTTAACAGCACCACTGCCTGCAGTGGCTTGGGTGGCAGCCGCTCCTTGGAGGCCTCCTGTCCACCCTCTGATCCAGCCCAAGGTGGCCCAGCTCCTGACAGGATCACAGCACAGGGACACACGTGCCTGCAGGCAAATTATCACACCAGAGGCACAACAGGCAGGGCCGGGGGCTAACCCAAGCGCGGGGCTGCTGTGGTGAAGCTCTGCACCATCAGAAATCATGAGCTGTCCTGCATCACAGCTGGCGTGTCAAGGGGACCATTCACCCCCTCCTCACACCACAGCAAGGCCAGCCACAGGCAGCACAGAGACAACAGCACACTCAGCTGAGAGCCAGGACACCAAGGCTACACCTAAATGGGAGAAGGCAGCGCACTAACACTGCAGCACTCATCTTCCTGAGCTGCTGTTGCCACTGCTTTATAGAGCCAGCACAATTCATTTATCCAGGCTGCCTTCATTTTATTGTTATTAATTGTTACGAGGTTTTTTTGGCAGGGATGGAGAAGCTTGTCTGATTAAAAATAGCTTTGGGGACGGCAGCTGGCAGAGTCACAATGAGAGAAGGATCCAGCTCCAGATCTTTCTTCAAATAATATGTTCCTAGCAAGTAACTGGGTGCAATCAAATGCAGAGATAAACACTAGCACTTCCCAAGGTGTAGCTCAAGGCTCTGACAGTCACTGTTTGCTGGCAAACATTCAGAAGGGTTGGAGACCTGCTCAAGTCTCTCAGACTTTCTGGCAGGACCAGTGTCCTACTGTTCTGCAAGGCTGGAGAGAAGAGAGTATTCGACAGAGACCAGGATATCTGAGCACGGTGGGATTTCAGCTGCACAAAATACGTCATAACAGTTTCAAAAAATACGCGGCCTTAAGGGCTGAGAATCTGGTTTCATGCGTGTGCATCTTCACTCTGTGGATGCTGCATGTGTGATTCTGCAGAGCCCCTATCCACGTCATCCAAGCAGTTTCCACAGCTTTCTCGCTTTGCATTCTGTACTAAGCATGTTTCCATAACTGGAAAGATAAGCAGGATGCTGAAGAATGGACACTCTAAGTGAACAGTGAGTGCGCTGAGAACTACAGCTGCACTTCCCCCATTTTTGATGCCAGCTGACAGTTTGACTGCAGATCCTTACTCCCCATCTCCAGTACACATCAGACCCACCTGAGCACAAACAGGAGCTTGTTCCTATGTCGTGCCCATTTTGATTTTCTCTGCCTAAGCTTCCGGTGTGGTGCTGCAAGAATGGGTTTTGAACACTTTGAGCGAGCCACTGGTTCAGCTACAGGAGAGCTGTGTTGGTAGGTTCTGGCTGGTGGAATCCAACATCCTTGCTGCAGGACTGAGCAAGTCAGCTTTCCAGCATCCAAGTGCTCACCCCATCATCCAGATTTGCTTCTAGCCAAGCCAGAGAACAGCAGGACTTCTGGAGAGCTGCCCTCATCCATAGCCTTTGAACTCATGAATGACTCTGCTGCTGCCACCACTCACTGGCTCTCTGAAGAATTTGCTTCTAGTAGCTCTTGGGCTCATGAAAATCATGTTTTGCAGCCCCACAGATCAGGAGAGCTGGTCTGCCTTTAAAATGTTGCTTTCTAATGCATTCTTGTGCTCACTTCCAGGAAAGTTTTGGCAATCTGTGAAGTTCATTCTTTGGAAAACATCTCACACTATGTCATTAGGTGAAAATGGCCTCTGGAACAGCTGAAAAAATCTAAGTGTTAAAGTCTTTGCCCACATATCCTATTTGCAGGAGGAAAGTGCCATGCTGCATCTTTTTGTTGGTTTTTTGTTTTGGTTCGGTTTGGTTTGGTTTTTTTTTACTCTAGCATGTATGAGGAAAACATCTGAAACTCTTAGAATTTATACAGGCAGATCTGACAGCCTTTTGAATTTTAGCTGAACTGTACACAACCACTGAATTTTTGAGCTTGCTTACTTGCATCTTGAATATGCACTCAGCAATCAGACCAAGTTTTAGCAGCTCCCACAGAAATCACGGCTGCCGTGGGGACAACAGGCAGCTCACTGCTGTAAACCAAAAACCAGTGCAGCAACACGGAAATCAATAACCCACAACAATTTATCATTGCTGAAGTTCCGGCCCTGTCTTTTTTTTTTTTTTTTTTTTTTTTTTTTTTTTTTTTTTTCTGTTTTCTTCCTTTGCCAGTTTAGCACATTTGCTCAGGACTGCCTGGACTAAAGGCAGCAGCACATCGTGCAGGGAAAGCTGAGCCCTGAGTCAGGGCAGCGAGTGCCACCTACTGAAACACGAGTTTTCCATCACCGCTTACCCCCCCAGCTTCCTCCAGGGCCTGGCTTACACTTCCAAAAAATACAAAAGAGTAGGAAAGAGGATTTAAGTTGTTTATAAGGCCATAACCCCTGTTTTAGCAGGCAAAACCTGGGAAGTGGCGGGGAGGAGGGGTGGGGAAGAAGGGGATTTATTTTCTAGGTTTTTGGTCTGCCTTAAGCAGAAAGGTACACAAAGAAGGGAAAAAAGTCCCTGCTTGAAAAACGTTTCCTTTTAAATGGCATGATATGCCTTTAAGGGGTAGGTAGTAGGCAAAGATCCATGTTCACCACATACAGACTTGCCTTGTTCTTCCATTTCTGGCTGAGTGATAAAACGTTAAATGTCATTTCCTGTATCAGTGGTTAACCACTAGATGCTGGATCAGAGATTTACCAGAAGTGCAATATTCAAAAGTGGACCTGCTGCTTTCAATAACCCTTT